TAGACAAAAGTCTGAGAAACACTCTTTTCGCACAAAAAGTAACCAATAATCAAGTTTTTATACAAAAAAAAATTCAGTCACATCCTGTTGGGTTTCTGGTAAAATCGTAAAATCCTGTTCAGTTTTTTATGTGCATGTTTACTTTCTTCCCGCTATATCAAAACTATCAAAACTTCGGTTTTTTCCTAGAAGAAAATTGCTTTTTTGGAAAACAGTCTATGAACTGCAAGCTAGTTTGTCATAATTGATCCGGCCATTAAAAAAGGAGAGCAATTTTGTATTCCGATTTGTTTTGTTTTTTTTTTAACGCAAAATCAGTTACCACAAATAATCATTAGATTGGGTTAAGTGATATATCATATTAAAGCCCCCTTCAGTCGTGCTTCCAACAACCTTATTAGTTTATCACAACTTGAAAAGAAGGACACCAAATAGAAATTGTTAGTTTTTATAAGACTTGGTGACTTGGTGGGAACATTTTGTGCTCATTCCACAGTAACTGGTTATTCTTGATCTTTTTGGAGATCTTAGACACTTGAGATGCCACTTCCTCTACAACTTGGAGTATGTTTGGCATCTGTTTCATATTTCAGAATATCTAAGTATTTAAGAACTTGTGTTAAACGCTAGCTTAATCAGCTTATCTTTCTTGTAAGTCAAAACAATTGGGCACACGAATCTATTTTTGTTGCTATTTTTTTTTCAGTTTTTGAGTGCTCGAATGTCAACGTACAAAACTTTTGACTCACTGAAGCCTGATGTTTTATTATTTTTGTAAATTGATGTTCTTTTGAAAGTTTACTTATTGACTTACTTTCTCAGGATCTCGTTATTATCAATTTGTTTTGCCTTTGACTATGCGCTGATTACATTACAACACTTTTTTCTAAAGTTTCATAAATATTTATTTATACCAGGCCAATCCAAAGGAACATTTTTGGTAACTGAAGTTTCTTGACAATTGAAATTTTTTACTTTTTTTCTCAGGTTCCTTCGTTTTACAGCTATTGTGGGCTCTCTTTTTACAAAATTCTAATGAATATTTTCAGAGTTATAATATGCAATCGGTTTACTTTTATTTGTCATCCTGAGATAGTTTAATACTCTGTGATCTTTAATTAAGGCTTAGTTTTAGTTTTCATAAGGTGGTTAATTTTCTACAATTTTTTTTGGTAATCGTATTTCTTCAGATTGTTTATGAAGATATCTCTAATTCATTTTTCTTCTCCGCTGGCTATATCACATTTCTGGTTAACCTGCCTTAAAGCTCCCCTAAATTGTTCCAAGCTTTATTTTTCCCTTGAGGCATTCAAATGCAACAATTGGCTTTCTGATGAGTCCAAAATTTTGCAAAACAACCTTAAGAACTTGTGTTAAACGCTAGCTTATTCAGCTTATCTTCTTGTAAGTCAAAACAATTGGGCTTATGAATCTATTTTTGTTGCTGTTTTTTCAGTTTTTTGAGTGCTCGAATGTAAGCATACGAAACCTTCGACTTACTGAAGCCTGATGTTTTTATTCTTTTTGGAAAATTGATGTTCTTTTGAAAGTTGTTGTTCTTGTTTTCTTGGATAAAACGACCGTCTTAGCGATTGATTTACTTTCTGAGGTGGTAACGATTCACTTACGTTCTCAGAATCTCGTTATTATCAATTTGCTTTGCCTTTGACTATGCGTTGATTATATTACAACACTTTTTTCTAAAGTTTCATACAAAGTTATTTACACCAGGCCAATCCAAAGGAATATTTTTGGTAACTGAAGTTTCTTGACAACTGACATATTTTTACTTTTTTCTCAGATTGCTTCGTTTTACAGCTATTGTGGGCTCTCTGTTTACAAAATTCTGGTTTTTAAAGTTATAATATGCAGTCGGTTTATTTTTATTTGTCATCTTGTTATAGTTTAATACTCTCTGTTCCTTAGTTAGGGCTTAGTTAAGGTCTTCATAGTTAAGGGCTTCATTGGTGGTGAAATTTCTATAAATTTTTTTGGTAGTCGTATTTCTTCAGATTGTTTATGAAGATATCTCTAATCCATTTTTCTTCTCCGCTGGCTATATCACATTTCTTGTTAATCGTTAATCTCCGTTAAAGCTCCCCTAAATTGTTCCAACCTTTATTTTTCCCTTGAGGCATTCAAATGCAACAATTGGTTTTCTGATGAGTCCAAAATTTTGCAAATCAACCTTAAGAACTTGTGTTGAACGCTAGCTTAATCAGCTTATCTTCTTGTAAATCAAAGCAATTGGGCTTATGATTCTATTTTTGTTGCTGTTTTTTCTGTTTTTTGAGTGCTCGAATGTAAGCATACGAAACTTTTGACTTACTGATGAAACCTGATGTTTTTATTCTTTTTGGAAAACTGATGTTCTTTTGAAAGTAAATGTTCTATTTTTGGATAAAACGATTGTCTTAGCGATTGACTTATTTTCTGAAGTGGTAACGATTAATTTACATTCTCAGGATCTCGTTATTATCAATTTGTTTTGCCTTTGACTATGCGCTGATTACATAACAACACTTTTTTCTAAAATTTCATAAACATTTATTTATACCAGGCCAATCCAAAGGAACATTTTTGGAAACTGAAGTTTCTTGACAATTTACACTTTTTACTTTTTTTCTCAGATTCCTTCGTTTTACAGCTATTGTGGGCTCTCTTTTTACAAAATTCTAATGGATATTTTCAGAGTTTTAATATGCAGTCGGTTTACTTTTATTTATCATCATGAGATAGTTTAATACTCTCTGATCTTTAATTAAGGCTTAATTAAGACTTCATAAGGTGGTGAAATTCCTACAAATTTTTTTGGTAATCGTATTTCTTCAGATTGCTTCTGAAGATATCTCTAAATCATTCTCCGCTGGCTATATCACATTTCTTGTTAACCTCCGTTAAAGCTCCCCTAAACTGTTCCAAACTTTATTTTTCCCTTGAGGCTTTCAAATGCAACAAATGGCTTTCTGATGAGTCCAAAATTCTGCAAAACAACTTTAAGAACTTGTGTTAAACGCTAGCTTAATCAGCTTATCTTTTTATAAGTCAAAACAATTGGGCTTATGAATCTGTTTTTGTTGCTGTTTTTTCAGTTTTTTGAGTGCTCGAATTTAAGCCTAATGTTTTTATTCGTTTTGGAAAATTGATGTTTTTTTTGAAAGCTGATGTTCTTATTTTTTGTATAAAACGACCGTTTTAGCGATTGACTTACTTTCTGAGGTGGTAACGATTGACTTAAATTCTCAAGATCTCTTTATTATCAATTTGCTTTGCCTTTGACTATGCGTTGATTACATTACAACACATTTTTCTAAAGTTTCATACATATTTATTTACTCTAGGCCAATCCAAAAGAATTTTTTTGGTAACTGAAGTTTCTTGGCAATTGACATTTTTTACTTTTTTCTCAGATTCCATCGTTTTAAAGATATTGTGGTCTCTCTTTTTACAAAATTCTAATTGTTATCTTCAGAGTTATAATATGCAGTCAGTTTAATTTTATTTGTTATCTTGAGATAGTTTAATACTCTCTGATCTTTAATTAGGGCTTAGTTAGGCTTCATAAGGTGGTGAAATTTCTACAATTTTTTTTAGTAGTCGTATTTCTTCAGATTGTTTATGAAGACATCTCTAATTCATTTTTCTTCTCCGCTGGCTATATCACATTTCTTGTTAACCTCCGTTAAAGCTCCCGTAAAGTGTTCCAAGCTTTATTTTTCCCTTGAGCCTTTCAAATGCAACAATTGGCTTTCTGATGAGTCCAAAATTCTGCAAAACAACTTTAAGAACTTGTGTTAAACGCTAGCTTAATCAGCTTATCTTCTTGTAAGTCAAAACAATTGGGCTTATGAATCTGTTTCTGTTGCTGTGTTTTCAGTTTTTTGAGTGCTCGAATGTAAGCCTAATGTTTTTATTCGTTTTGGAAAATTGATGTTTTTTTTGAAAGTTGATGTTCTTATTTTTTGTATAAAACGACCGTTTTAGCGATTGACTTACTTTCTGAGGTGGTAACGATTGACTTAAATTCTCAGGATCTCTTTATTATCAATTTGCTTTGCCTTTGACTATGCGTTGATTACATTACAACACTTTTTTCTAAAGCTTCATATATTTTTATTTACACCAGGCCAATTCAAAGGAAATTTTTTGATAACTGAAAATTCTTGACAACTGATATTTCTTACTTTTTTCTCAGTTTGCTTCGTTTTACAGCTATTGTGGGCTCTCTGTTTACAAAATTATAGTTTTCAGAGTTATAACATGCAGTCGGTTTATTTTTATTGGTCATCTTGTTATAGTTTAATACTCTCTGTTCCTTAGTTAGGGCTTAGTTAAGGTCTTCATAGTTAAGGGCTTCATTTTTTTTTTATTGAAATTTCTATAAATTTTTTTGGTAGTCGTATTTCTTCAGATTGTTTATGAAGATATCGCTAATTCATTTTTCTTCTCTGCTGGCTATATCACATTTCTTGTTAATCTCCGTTGAAGCTCCCCTAAATTGTTCTAAGCTTTATCTTTCCCTTGAGGCATTCAAATGTAACAATTGGCTTTCTGATCAGTCTAAAATTTCTGCAAAACGAATCCAAAGGACTTTCACCTTGGTAATTGTTTAGGCAAATAGGCGCTTTTTTGTTATCTAGCGCCAGATAGAGCTTTGAATCGACCTTTTTGTTGGCTTTTTCAATGCGCTTACCGTTAAAAGTCTCCGTTTTCAACTTGATATGTTCGTTTTTGTTCTCTTTTTTGTAGTTTTTTTCTTCTAGGATTATGTTAACAATGTGGAGGTCAGGTATGACCGTTAAATTAAAGAAATAAAGATTTCAAATGAGACAATCGCACCAAGACTTGAACAAACCTGTGAGCCGAGTCACCGAGAAGTTCAAAAATTATGTGTAAGGAGAGTAAACTAAAAGTTGTGTAAAATATGGGGCGTCCCCCCACCCACGTTCTGAAGCCAGAGAGGCGTTTCGATACTTTAAATATATATTGAATTGTATTGCCGTTTCATCTATTTCTTTTTGCAGTTTGGGAAGCTCATTGTTCAGTCTATCGATTCTTGTGTATGTATCGTCGTCAGATTTAGCAAAATAATCGAATTTTGGACAGTAGCAATAAACTAACTTCATTGACGAAAGAATTTTGAGCGGGGTTAAATCGTAACCTTCAGCCGGATAGAAATACGATAGATGGGCAGTTCAAACAAGCGCGTAAATGATAAGGGTACCTCAAAAATATACTAACTGATGGCTTTCTGATGAGTCCAAAATTCTGCAAAACAACTTTAAGAACTTGTGTTAAACGCTAGCTTAATCAGCTTATCTTTTTATAAGTCAAAACAATTGGGCTTATGAATCTGTTTTTGTTGCTGTTTTTTCAGTTTTTTGAGTGCTCGAATTTAAGCCTAATGTTTTTATTCGTTTTGGAAAATTGATGTTTTTTTTGAAAGCTGATGTTCTTATTTTTTGTATAAAACGACCGTTTTAGCGATTGACTTACTTTCTGAGGTGGTAACGATTGACTTAAATTCTCAAGATCTCTTTATTATCAATTTGCTTTGCCTTTGACTATGCGTTGATTACATTACAACACATTTTTCTAAAGTTTCATACATATTTATTTACTCTAGGCCAATCCAAAAGAATTTTTTTGGTAACTGAAGTTTCTTGGCAATTGACATTTCTTACTTTTTTCTCAGATTCCATCGTTTTAAAGATATTGTGGTCTCTCTTTTTACAAAATTCTAATTGTTATCTTCAGAGTTATAATATGCAGTCAGTTTAATTTTATTTGTTATCTTGAGATAGTTTAATACTCTCTGATCTTTAATTAGGGCTTAGTTAGGCTTCATAAGGTGGTGAAATTTCTACAATTTTTTTTAGTAGTCGTATTTCTTCAGATTGTTTATGAAGACATCTCTAATTCATTTTTCTTCTCCGCTGGCTATATCACATTTCTTGTTAACCTCCGTTAAAGCTCCCGTAAAGTGTTCCAAGCTTTATTTTTCCCTTGAGCCTTTCAAATGCAACAATTGGCTTTCTGATGAGTCCAAAATTCTGCAAAACAACTTTAAGAACTTGTGTTAAACGCTAGCTTAATCAGCTTATCTTCTTGTAAGTCAAAACAATTGGGCTTATGAATCTGTTTCTGTTGCTGTGTTTTCAGTTTTTTGAGTGCTCGAATGTAAGCCTAATGTTTTTATTCGTTTTGGAAAATTGATGTTTTTTTTGAAAGTTGATGTTCTTATTTTTTGTATAAAACGACCGTTTTAGCGATTGACTTACTTTCTGAGGTGGTAACGATTGACTTAAATTCTCAGGATCTCTTTATTATCAATTTGCTTTGCCTTTGACTATGCGTTGATTTCATTACAACACTTTTTTCTAAAGCTTCATATATTTTTATTTACACCAGGCCAATTCAAAGGAAATTTTTTGATAACTGAAAATTCTTGACAACTGATATTTTTTACTTTTTTCTCAGTTTGCTTCGTTTTACAGCTATTGTGGGCTCTCTGTTTACAAAATTATAGTTTTCAGAGTTATAACATGCAGTCGGTTTATTTTTATTGGTCATCTTGTTATAGTTTAATACTCTCTGTTCCTTAGTTAGGGCTTAGTTAAGGTCTTCATAGTTAAGGGCTTCATCTTTTTTTTATTGAAATTTCTATAAATTTTTTTGGTAGTCGTATTTCTTCAGATTGTTTATGAAGATATCGCTAATTCATTTTTCTTCTCCGCTGGCTATATCACATTTCTTGTTAATCTCCGTTAAAGCTCCCCTAAATTGTTCTAAGCTTTATCTTTCCCTTGAGGCATTCAAATGTAACAATTGGCTTTCTGATCAGTCTAAAATTTCTGCAAAACGAATCCAAAGGACTTTCACCTTGGTAATTGTTTAGGCAAATAGGCGCTTTTTTGTTATCTAGCGCCAGATAGAGCTTTGAATCGACCTTTTTGTTGGCTTTTTCAATGCGCTTACCGTTAAAAGTCTCCGTTTTCAACTTGATATGTTCGTTTTTGTTCTCTTTTTTGTAGTTTTTTTCTTCTAGGATTATGTTAACAATGTGGAGGTCAGATATGACCGTTAAATTAAAGAAATAAAGATTTCAAATGAGACAATCGCACCAAGACTTGAACAAATCTGTGAGCCGAGTCACCGAGAAGTTCAAAAATTATGTGTAAGGAGAGTAAACTAAAAGTTGTGTAAAATATGGGGCGTCCCCCCACCCACGTTCTGAAGCCAGAGAGGCGTTTCGATACTTTAAATATATATTGAATTGTATTGCCGTTTCATCTATTTCTTTTTGCAGTTTGGGAAGCTCATTGTTCAGTCTATCGATTCTTGTGTATGTATCGTCGTCAGATTTAGCAAAATAATCGAATTTTGGACAGTAGCAATAAACTAACTTCATTGACGAAAGAATTTTGAGCGGGGTTAAATCGTAACCTTCAGCCGGATAGAAATACGATAGATGGGCAGTTCAAACAAGCGCGTAAATGATAAGGGTACCTCAAAAATATACTAACAAAAAACAGGCTTCCCAATTCGGTTAAGACTCTTCTTTAAATTATCAGATATATCTGAAAACTGATCTGTAGCTGGCAGTTTTCAAATTGTTAAAAGTCATTTTGCCTAAAAACAATTTGATATAATTAATAATATTTTTAAGGACCCATCTATCATCTTTGTACCTTCAGGCGTGTTGAAAACAACAACATCGGCATATTGGGATATTTCCTTTTGCAAATGCTCCTTTGTGTTTGAAATATTATCATTGCCGTTCGAATAAGGTTGACTAACTGCGAAAAAATATATCCAAGTGAAGTTTTTAGTGGTCGATTGTAATAATTCTGGTAGATATGTCTCACGTACGGCCAACCGTTGTGCGAAGGAAGTTGTCCGAGAGTTGATCATGAGGATCCCCAAATTCGCTTCCGAGTGAACTTTTGAGCATTTTTCCATCAGACTAGCGGCGTCAGAAGGGTCCTGAAACCAATTGATTATTTCACCAAATTAATCAAAAATGCTTATTGCAAGCAAAGACATTCAGAGTTTCGTGAGCTGGACGGTAACGAAATTTTCAAAAAATGAAAAATACACATCTGTTTTCGTTTTATCCACCCAAAAAACTATTAACAAATCAACCTAAGAAACTTCAAATTCCGTTTTTGGACAATTGCTGTATTGTTTTGATAGCAAGAAACCGTAGTTATTAAATGCGGGCTTCCCCTCCAAAGTTAGTATGTATTGGCATCGAACGCGCCTTCAGAAAAAATCTGGGCCGAGCGTCGGATTCCTGGGTGTTATCAAAATGGCAGCTTTAGCAGGGGAGGATGGTTGGATTCCTGAGATATCCAGCTTCTCTTAAATTGATAGTGTAATCTTTCACCAAGTTTTTTCATTGTATGAGGAGAGTTGGGATGTCAAAAAAAGTTCCAATTATAGATTTTTTGTTCCAATCATTTGAAAAAAGTGGAGGAATTTTGTATCTGCATGTGTTTTAGCTTTTTTTCTCATGTTCGAGAAAAACCACTTTCAAATTTTCATTACGAGGGTAAACTGTGTATTTTGGGAAATGTACGCGCATTCCGCAACAAGGACGCTCCCTTTGTTTTGCTTTCGTTCTTTCATTTTCTTTGATCGTTCATCCCAATTTTTAACATGTTTAAAGATTTGTCTCTGGAAATCAGGAATATATAGACACAAAATTGTGCGCCTATCCACTGCACAGTTTGGCCTCGTAGAACTTGATTTTTGTTTTAATTTTAGGTTAATAAGGTGAGCGTGCAGGATTACAGTAGCTTATTTATGCTTATTTTAAGCCGTGAAAACTTAGTTTTACTTGAGTATTGATATTTTTTTTGGTGTTTTTGAGTTTTGGAAATCAAAAGCTTCAAAAATCAAAAATTTTCAGCGAAAAAATTTAAAACACTTTCACAATTTTTTTTGACTTTTTTAACAATTTTTCTCTGATTGAACAAAAAACGGATTGAAATTGAAACGTATATATCAATCAAAAATCGTAGAATTTTGTCGTTTTCTTTTATTTTAGTTTTACAAAGAATCTTAGAACTCACACCTTTGAATCAACTCACTAACTTTGCTTTTCTACTGGTTGATTTTCTTTCATTTCATTTATTTAAGACAAAAAATTCGAAAACAAAATAATGTTATCGGATTAGAGTTATGTTTTTCAGATCATAAATGAAAAAACTCGTGTAAATGTTAAACAAACTATAATGATGCATTCATGTGCTGATTGAGGCTAGTTTATCAGGTTTTTTCTTCTTTTTAACAAAAGCTCTTGAAACAAGTTGAAATATTTTGATATATTTTTATTCTATTTCGCGCTAGACTATTTTGTACTTTTTTAAATTAATTTTATCAACTACTTTTAACAAAACCCTGCATAACATAGCTTTTTTGTTTTCCACTTGACAAAAGTCATGCGCAACTTATTGGGTTCTTTTTTGCTTTGATTCAACAAAAGCGCTTAAATATTAAAAGATTTGACCTCATTATTTGCTTTAAGTACAGCGCTGAAAAATCAAAGGCTAAACATAAGTAATAGCAGTTTTTTTGCTGGTTTCTTTTTAGCTTCTGAACTTTCTATTTTTTATTTTATTTTTTGAACTTATTTTGGCAATCTTGTCACGTATTTTTTTTTACTGCAGCTGTAACAAAATTTCTTTGGCCATGAAAATTGAGATCAGTTGAAAAACATGCTTTATTATGAAATGCTTTCTAACTTTATTAATTTCTCTTGGGATCTGAAAGGTTGAGAAAATGTATCATTCAAGCTATCATATTGGGATCTTGCTCAAAGTGAAACTCTAACAAGTTTTCAAAAATTATGACATTATTTGTAGTTCAACCTACCCGGGTTGACCAAAACTTCTTATCATACAATTGTCATATATGAGAAACTTCTTGCCATACAATTTCATACAATTCCATACGTACAGAAAGTTGTATGAAATCTCTATGATAAGCTTTCTTCCATACATGAAAATTGTATGATAAGTGTTTTTCCTTTAACTGAAAAATCTGATTTTTTGTTTCTAATTTTAGTTTCCAAAACTTTTTGGGTGGTGTTTGTAACCGAACACAAGTGAAAAAAACCTTCGTTACTCAAACACCAAAGATTGGACGGTCTTGCATTTACAAGGCATAGAGAATGACCTGAATTGTCTTATAGCTGTCTATCATAAGTGATACAAGGAAAGTAATGAACTGTTAAAATCTGGCGAAGTTTTTCAAAGAAGACTATTTAAATTTTTTAATATTATCAGACATTGATCAAGGCTTGCAAATTGTTATCAGATTAGAGTTATGTTATTCAGATAATATATAATAAGACAATCGTTTAAAAGTCAAACAAACTATAATGATGCAATCATGTGCTGAGTGAAGCTAGTTAATCACCTTTTTTCTACTCTTCAACAAAAGCTCTTGAAACAAGTTGAAACATTTTGATACTTTTTTGTTCTATTTCGCGCTAGGCTATTTTGTACTTTTTTCAATTAATTTTATCAACTTCTTTTAGAAAAAATACTGGCATAATAAAGTTTTTTGTTTTGCACTTGAAAAAAGTCATGCGCAATTTATTGGGTTTTTTCACTTTGAATTCAACAAAAGCGCTTAAATATTAAAAGTTTTGACCTCAACATTTTGCTTTAAATACAGCGCTGAAAAATCAAAGGTTAAAATAAGTAATAGCAGTTTTTATCGGTGGTTTCTTCTTAGCTTCCTAACTTCTAGTTTTCAATTTTTAAAAACTTTTTTATGCAATCTTGTCCCGTTTTTTTTTTCACTGCAGCTGTAACGAAAATTATTTGGCCATGAAAATTGAAATCAGTTGAAAAACATGCTTTCTAAAGAAATGCTTTCTATCTTTATTAATTTCTCTTGGGATCTGAAAGGTTGAGATAAGGTATCATTCAAGCTATCATATTGGAAACTTGCTCAGAATGAATCTCTAAAGTTTTAAAAAAAAATGAATTTGTTTGTAGTTCAACCTACCCGGGTTGACCAAAACTACTTCTCATCTAATTTTCATATATGAGAAGCTTCTTGCCATACAATTTCATACAATTCCATACGTACAGAAAATTGTATGAAATCTCTATGATAAGCTTTCTTCCATACATGAAAATTGTATGATAAGTGTTTTTCCTTTAACTAAAGTCTGATTTTTTGTTTCTATTGTTAGGTTCTAAAATTTTTGTGTTGTGTTTGTAATCGAACACAAGTGACAAAAATCTTGGTTTACTCAATGCACCAAAGATTGGACGGTCTTGCATTTACAATGCTTTGAGAACGACCTGGATTATCTTATAGCTGTCTTTCATAAATGATTTAAAAAAGTAACAGACCTTCAAAAATTGGCGAAACTTTTCAAAGAAGATTATTTAATTTTTTTTATCAGACATTGATCATGGCTTGCAAATTGATATCAGATTAAAGTTATGTTTTTCATATGATATATAATAAGAAACTCGTTAAAAAGTCAAACAAACTAGTGAAGCTAGTTAATCAGAATTTTTCTACACTTCAACAAAAGCTCTTGAAACAAGTTGAAACATTTTGATATTTTTGTTTCATTTCGCGCTAGGTATTTTTTGTACTTTTTTCATTTAATTTTATCAATTTCTTTTAGAAAAAATACTGGAATAATAAAGTTTTTTGTTTTGCACTTGAAAAAAATCATGCGCAATTTATTGGGTTTTTTTCACTTTGAATTCAATAAAAGCGCTTAAATAATAAATGTTTTGACCTCAACATTTTGCTTTCAATACAGCGCTGAAAAATCAAAGGTGAAACATAAGTATTAGCAGTTTTTATCGGTGGTTTCTTTTTAGCTTCCAAACTTCTAGTTTTCATTTTTAAAACTTTTTCAAGCAATCTTGTCACGTTTTTTTTTCACTGCAGCTGTAACAAAAATTATTTGGCCATAAAAATTGAAATCAGTTGAAAAACATGCTTTCTAAAGAAATGATTTCTATCTTTATTAATTTCTCTGGGGATCTGAAAGGTTGAGACAATGTATCATTCAAGCTATCATATTGGAAACTTGCTCAAAATGAAACTCTAGGGTTTTAAAAAATTATGAATTTGTTTGTAGTTCAACCTACCCGGGTTAGCCAAAACTACTTCTCATCTAATTTTCATATATGAGAAGCTTCTTGCCATACAATTTCATACAATTCCATACGTACAGAAAGTTGTATGAAATCTCTAGGATAAGCTTTCTTCCATACATGAAAATTGTATGATAAATGTTTTTCCTTTAACTAAAGTCTGATTTTTTGTTTCTATTGTTATGTTCTAAAATTTTTGTGTTGTGTTTGTAATCGAACACAAGTGACAAAAATCTTGGTCTACTCAATGCACCAAAGATTGGACGGTCTTGCATTTACAATGCATTGAGATCGACCTGAATTGTTTTATAGCTGTCTTTCATAAGTGATACAAAAAAAAGTAATAAATTTTTAAAATTTGGCGAAATGTTTCAAAGATGATTTTCTCAATTTTTTTTATTATCAGACATTGATCAAGGCTTGCAAATGGTTATCAGATCAGAATTATGTTTTTCAGATGATATATAATAAGAAACGCGTTTGAAAGTCAAACAAACTATAATGATGCATTCATGTGCTGAGTGAAGCTAGTTAATCAGGTTTTTTCTTCACTTCAACAAAAGCTCTTGAAACAAGTTGAATTATTTTGAAATTTTGTTGTTATATTTCCTAATGTATATTTTGTTATATTTTGTAATGTATCCTTCAAGCTATCATATTGGGAAGCTGTTAAAAGTGAAACTCCAAAAAGTTTTCAAAAATTATTGTCATACAATTTCATACAATTCCATACATACAGAAAATTGTATGAAATCTTTGTGGCAAGCATTTTTACATATATGAAAATTGTATGATAAGTGTTTCTTCCATTAACCAAAAAACTGATTGTTGGTACTAAGTTTGATT